TGAATAGTCCCTTGTTTGTGCTCTTGTTCTGTTAAAATCTACTTTTTTCTCATCTGTAGCATTTTCAATCTTTTTTTCGTTTTTATTTCCAGAATTTCTTCGCATGATTTGTCAAACCATTTCCGTTTTGGGGAGTCCTCTTTTTTCCAATGGGTTCCTTGGCTGCTTGTTCTATAACTGATGCCACTTGCTGCCATGCTTGTTCTAACTCTACATTATGCTCTTCCTCTCTCAGCAATTGGAATCTGTTGCTTATTGCCACTTGATAATCCAGTTCTTTATTTGGTGTTTGTAGGGCTTCTATGTTCCATATTTCTCTTTTTTCTTGTTGTTCCAGTTTCTGTATTGATAATCGCGTTCCTAACTTAGATTTCAACAGAAAGTGATCGCTATCGCTGTCAGCTCCTCTCATACTTCGCGAATTTATAATGCTACTAGAGTATTTTGTGTCAATGAGGACATCATCTATTTGATTTCGTGTTCTTCCATCATTTGAAACCGATGGATATAATGATCATGTTATGAGATGTTGCGATTTGTGTTAGCCGATGTCCATTATCATTTTTTGTGTCGTGCAAGCTATGCTTACCAATTACTTCTCTTAAATAATCTTCCTTACCTAGTTTAGCGTTGCAATCTCTCAACACTATTTTGACGTGGTGCTTTGGAGCAGCTTTATACTGTTGGTCTAATAATTCATAACATTCATCCTTCCTATCTTCTTTGGCATCTTCTATTGGGGCATATATTAAGAATATTGTCAGATTGAACCTCTTACCATTGAGTCTAATATAGCAGATTCATTCGTTTATTGGTTTCAAATTTATCACTGCTGATTTTAGTCTTTTTTTAATGACAAAGCCACATTAGTATTCATGTCTATTCTGTCTCACTACCCGACCAAAAGACTATATACTATCTTCCATTTCCAGAATTCCCAGACCGTTGCTGTCCATTTTATTTCCTGTATTGCTGTTATATACATGTTATATTTTTATAGTTATCTAATGGTTCTCGTCGCTATCCCAGGTCGCTATCCCACCAGATGAGGGAGAATGTAGCGTTTACGCTACTGATTAATCCAATATCCAATTTAAAAAATCGTATTCACAAAACCCCTCACGATATTTCTTGTGATCCGCCAGCGATCGATTTTTAAATCGACATTTCTCCACCCACGCGCTGGGAGCGCTTTGAAAGGAAGATCGAGGTTGTGCGGAAGAAGTTTAGTTTGGTCAAGAAACTCGTACTACGCAGCCACGTCAGTCAATTCAAAGTGACGGAATTGGAGCAGTAAAATAATCTGGGACGAATAAAATAATACCTAATTCAATAATCATATCTCAATAATAATGAATAATAATAATTAATTTCTAAAATCAATATTCAATTTATAAGAGTTCCACATAAAAAGGAAGATTTTTTTGGCGTGCTGCGGCTCCATGTAAGTAAATAATTTCATACGTATTATCTCTTTATCATATAATCAAATTTATCATTGCAGTTTAGTATTTCTTTAGAGATTTATTTTTGAGTTCCGAAATAATTTAAATTTAAAATTTCCTTCATTCACTCGCAAAGAACATAAGGTCATTTTTTATATAGTCAAACTTAAATTCCGATCTATTCCATATCTTATCAGTAAGTTTTTTGGTTCTTTTTTCTCTCACTTTTTTTGGTGGAATATACAAGGTTTCTACAGCCTTCTGTGTTCTGCGCGTGTTCATTTCATGGCGCAAGCCTGTCATGTCTACGAAATGAACTTCGGAAATTTTGACATTTTGGACCTAACCTAATGTTTTAATGTTTTTGTTTTGGTGCAGTCAATCTATGCTGCTACAAGTACTAAATAAAATAGTAACTAAATCTGATAATTAATCCTTTTAGATTCCGTCACATGAAAATATTCATTTGAGAATATTCACTTGAAAATATTCCCTCGAGGATATTAGGTAGTAACTTTGAATCCTTAGATAGTTAGCAACTTGCGTATGTAACCCGTGGATTTTGCTGTCACCCGGAACCATGGGACTTGTCACCACAACCATGAATTAATTTAGCCGTGCCAAGAGGAGTTTTCCTATGGACTTATAGTGTTGCTAAGATAAGTTGTTTAACTATTTGACTTTTTGTGTTACTTTCTATTTACTGTTAACTTTTCATATGCATATGATAAGGTGAATACATTTGTGATAATCTAATTTTGATATTGGGAGGGAAATAAATTGGGATTTTAACTAGGATTTCAAGAGTACTGACCAAACTCACTTTTGCTATAATATTTTTTTAATACAATACATTTGATATAATACAATTTTGATATTGGGGAGGGAAATAAATTTCATGTGGTTTTTTTTTAAATATGATATAATGAGTATGGAACAACTCACTTGTAATATAATATAATTGTAATAGATTTATCAAGTTTGATATCTTTACAATATTGTAATTAGTATCTCATTTTAGTAGAACTATTTAAATTTAAATTACTAACCTTTAGTGTTAAGACCTTGGCTACCATACGGACTATTCTTGTTGTTTACTAACATTTTACACTTTACTTGGCCAGTGGTAGTGACTATTCGCTTGTTGAGGGGCTATTAGGTCCTATTGTATCTTTACACCACCCACTACCACTGTTATTTAGTTTTGCCTTATATGTAAATTGTTCATACATATATATCTATATACACATTTTTATAAATATATTTATTGTTACTATTTTGAGTTTTATTTCAGTTCTACTAACCAGTATACAATATAGCAAGACAAGATTGGTATTTAATATTTTGTATTTCAGGTTATTATCTCCAGTATCATTTGTTTCCAGTCATTTGTTACTTCAAAATCTCAACTATCGTTGAGTTGGCGCCCTTCTTCTTCTCTTCTGATCGTCCTTTTTATATAAATTTATTCCCAGTGATCTTCTTTAGTTGTATCACGTTTGATATTAACAGGCCTCATTTCGTTTCTTGTCTCATTAGCTCATTATCCTTGCTATCTGCTTCATATCTTTAAAGCCACAATTCAGTGCATTGAAGCTAGCCCGAACACTCACTTGAGATTTAGTGTCTCTTTGGCCATTTAACTTTGTTCCTCTGAGCTTAGCCATATTTTTAGTATTTTCATCACCTCTCTTCCAGTTCTTCTGAAATTTGGAAGTTCTACACTTCCTAAAATCCAATACTTCCGGAGTATTGAGGTTTCACTGTACCAACTTAATACATTCCACGTTCTTATGCAAATGCCCTTATTTCTTTGCGAGTGTCGTTTATATTTCCTATTCATCCTGCAACCCGAACAACCTACCCGCGAAAATATTTAAATGTAGCTAACAAGCCACAGAATTGGAATACTGGAAGATTGGACTACTGAGACTATATACTCTATTCACAAAAAAGAAAATGTGCTTGACTGTTTTAATTTTAGAGGGATTTCGCTTATTAATATGGCATACAACATTTTGTCCCTGATACTTAACAAACGACTGGCAGATGTACCATTGATCACATATCATCCGTCAGAAAAATATAAAAAACAACGGAGTACGACATATACTATCATTACATTTTCTTAGATTTAATTACAGCATACTATACTGTTGGTAGATCCCAATTATCGAATTTGGAATACCAAAAGGATTAGTACAATTAATTAAAATGACAATGAGAAAAGTCGAATGCAAATTGGGGTACAAGGAGATTTTACCGAACCACTTAAAACTCACAAAGCACTGTGCTACAAAAGACACGGGAATAAAATTTAAACAAAGCTTTTACACGTATCAAAAACGCCGCAAAAAAACACATTGGACTTCTGATTAACAACCAGAAAACTAAATACATACGGACTATATCAAGAATGCAACAAAATTCCTTGGAGGTGTTGGTGGTGGAGGTGCAATATAAAACTATAGAAGCGATGAAAGAATTCTGCTACTTAGAATCACTGGTGGACTCCAATACTTCGTTTTCCCTGTATTTTCCCCTGCATTATGGTTTGTAGTAACACATATTTATCCCCTCTCATAACGTGGCCGAGATACTGTAACTTTCTTATCTTAATCGTATTCATGATTTCCATTTCCTTTGTCATCTTTCTGAGGACCTCAACATTTGTTATTCGGTCTACCCAACTTATTTTTAATATTCTTCGGTAGGTCCACATCTCGAATGCTTCAAGTCGATCGCTCACCTCTTTCTTTAAGGTCCATGCCTCCACCCCATACAGCAGCACCGAAAACACATAAGAACGTAATATTCTTATTTTGAGTTGTAAACTAAGGTCTCTACTGCATAATACTTTTCTCATCTTATTAAATGTTGCTCTAGCTTGTCCAATTCTCATTTTTATTTCTTCTGTATACTCGTTATTTTCATTAATAATTGTACCAAGATATCTGTATTTTTTTACTTTTCTATTGGAACTCCTCTTATGTTTAAAATGTCTTGTTGTGTTTTGGAAATTGTCATAAATTTTGTTTTATTAGCATTAAGCGTTAGTCCACCTTCCTCACTAGCATTTATACATTATCTAAAACTGTCTGTAGATCTTGTATACAAGGTGAATTAGTATAGATGAATAATCTGCACGTTTCCTATTGCACTCTCTGAGGATTTAGTGACGTGTAAATACACGTGTCGTTGGTGTCAATGTCTCAGTTGAGAAGTCTTGCTAAAATGAACTCATAAGTAGGACACTGAGTTTCTGTCATCCAGGAGGGCTCTCTGGTTCCTCCCAGCATCGTGGCTGTAAGCGGATTTGAATATAATAGTTGAGCTTTGAAGGGACTGAACGTGACTCTTTATTAGTTGCACCACCAGACAATTTTCTTCAACTGATGCTGTGCTCTATCGAACACAGACGCATAGTATGTTTAATAAAAGTAAAATATAATTGGGTTAAGGGTGAATCAAAGAGATCATACTTATTTTAGTCTGTTTGTTAAAACGTATTATATTTTTTACAACTGTTAAAATTAGAAACAACTTTATACTTACCTTTTTCAGTAAGTTCGTTGGTCCAGCCCCAACCAGCAACTATAGCCAACAAACTAGTGTAGTCTTCGGCGGGCTTAGAACTCGGCAAACATGCTGGAAGAGCAGTATTGGACCATGTTAAAGTATTTTCCAGCTCGAGTAATGCTATATCATCTTTTGGTTTCCCACAAATATATCCAGGATGAATAGTTATTGCTTTAACATTTACTTGATATGCATCACTGTTTTTGATAGTTAGATCATACTGAGATATTGTTACTTTTATGGAAAAAGCTGGTAGAATATCCTGATCTATTCCTCTAAAAAGTATTTGATTAGTTCTGTTACATTATTTATACAGGGTGAGTCATGAGGAACTTTACATACTTCTACCATATGTAGAGTCCCTCAGGAGAGCATATCATGTGGCCACTAAAAAATGTCAACTCCTCTTCTTTATTAATTAATAGGGTGATTTGTGTAATTGACTATTTATTTCATTTTACTGTAGTGTTTATACGGCTCATTTGATTTTTTTAATTTTTGCATGATACGGTACACTACTATCAAGCATTCGACTGATATTAGCTAAACTAAAAAATTCCGGACTGGCTTTGGAAAAATTAATTTAGGGATTCGTATTAAATATTACACCCTGTATATATATTCAAATGAAGTATCAAATTATAAGGTAATTAATTTAAACAAATGTTATAAATTTCAAACATTTTAATTGAAATGATAAACTGAGTCACTGCACAACAAAAAACAGTAACTACTAACAATAACGAAGAACAATTAAAAAAAAAACTAAAAATATGTACATAGTTATGATAAACCCATAAATTAGAACTGGAAAAGATACAATAATGGTAACAAAATAAAAATAATTCAAAATAGATTTTCGAAATGGAACCCTGCAGCCTGTACACATTTTTGTTGCCGAATTGTTAATTGACGTATTGAATTACGGATACTCTGGGGATCGTTTCTAATAGTATTACAACAATGTATAATTCTATCAATTAATTGTTGTCGGTTATTAATATTCACTGCGTAAACTAGTTGCTTCAATCGTCCCCAAATATGGTAATCAACGGGATTGAAATCAGGGGATCTTGAAGGCCACGAAATAGGACCTGCACGTCCTATCCACCTGTTGCCATAAACATTATTGAGATGTTGTCTCACTGCCAGTAAAAAGTGTGGGGGTGCCCCATCATGCTGAAAATACATCCCTCGGATAGCAACGTTCGCGTTGGCAAGCAAATTCGGCAAAATATTTTGTAGAAAGTTCAAATAGACCTGCCCTGTTAAAGGACCATCAAAAAAGTGAGGACCTACTAATTGGTTATTTATGACACCAATCCACACGTTAACCGAAAACCTTAACTGAGAACGACGTTCTCGAATAGCATGGGGATTTTCTTCTGCCCACACATGTGAATTTCGTGAATTATTTATCCCGTCTCTGGTAAATTGGGCTTCATCTGTAAATAGTGTCCTGTATAGCGTTGGTCGATTATTGTTAATCCATCTACAAAATTCCAACCTATCGATCTCATCTCCAGCATGTAGTCGCTGAACCATTTGAATGTGATATGGGTATAGATTATTTTTTTGTAAGACTCTACTTACTTTTGATTGAGTAACATTGAGTTCTCGACTTACTTGTCTAGTGCTTATTGTAGGGTTCATAGTAACGGCGTCCATAATGTCATCTTCCTGCGCTTCATCTACATGTCGCTCTGTTGTTCCACTAGGAAAAGTGCCATTTTCTCGCAAATAATTAAAAACTGACCCAAATGTTGGATGACTGGGAGTTCGACGATTAGGAAATCTCCTGCGATATTCTCTACTAGCAGCCCTACCATTCCCATTACAGAATCCATAAACAAATATTATGTCTGCATATTCTGTGGTCGAAAACTGATGTGGCATTTTGAACGAAAGTAACAAAAGCTCTACCAAAACTAACACAATGTACTTAACGTAGATATGACAGAAGAAATATGTATTCTTGTACACATAAATAACAATTGATAATGACAATAATGACAATGGGTATAAAATATCAAGAAACGTCAAACGGTCAACGCCAACCTTCATTTTAAACTTTTTTAGATTTATTTTTATTTAGTACAGTTGATGCAATGTATTATTATTTGACATAAAATTTTAATCATTTACAATCAACAAAAACTAACACATACAAGAGGTTTGACTTTTTAATCAATTTAATTTATTATTTATCGAAAATAATGCCCCAATACGATCTATGAGTAAAAATTTAAAATTGAAAAACAATTGATTCTATCGTAGAGATAATACAAAGTGACAGTAAAGATGTTAATTTTCTACGTATTAGATTATGTTGTAGGAACTCATTTTAATTAAAATGTTTGAAATTTATAACATTTGTTTAAATTAATACCTTATAATTTGATACTTCATTATGGTTGTTCTATTTTTGGTAAGATTTGATCGTTCACTAAAAATTTAATAAAAGTGCGACAACATTGTCGCATATGTCGTTTTCATTGGCTATTTATGTAGTTTGAAAATCACTTATTGCATTTTAAAAAAATATATATACAGGGTGTAATATTTAATACGAATCCCTAAATTAATTTTTCCAAAGCCAGTCCTGGAATTTTTTAGTTTAGCTAATACCAGTCGAATGCTTGATAGTAGTGTACTGTATCATGCAAAAATTAAAAAAATCAAATGAGCCGTATAAACACTACAGTAAAATGAAATAAATGGTCAATTACACAAATCACCCTGTTAATTAATAAAGAAGAGGAGTTGACATTTTTTAGTGGCCACATGATATGCTCCCTGAGGGACTCTACATATGGTAGAAGTATGTAAAGTTCCTCATGACTCACCCTGTATACTAGGATTATAAGCAGTATATTTAATGGAAATAAATCATAATTTTAATTAAAAATTCGTTGAATTTGACGTTTTGTATTTCACCTCATATACAATTTATAGAAATTATACAGGATACAGCATTAGTGCGAGGAAGTCCAGTTACTCACTTGTCGTAAGATATGCGAAGAAAAATTAGTAGATAAAAGTTGGAGGGTAGATGGGACCATACGATCCGCTGCAAGATAGTTCAGATGGAATTCCCCAGATTAAAAGACTGGGCTGATATCAAGCACGAAATGACTGTACTTCCTTAATCCTGTAACGAATGGTCACTCTTAGTCTTTCGTTACATTAGGTTCAATTTTTAATGTTATCCAAAGTTTTAAAGGTACTTTACTAAATGTTTTTTAAATAAAATTTTGTGTATCTATTTGAATTTAATCAGTTAGTTGCATTTGTACTTGGAATTCAGTATTACAAATTTCTAGGTACGTACTTTTATAAGAGATTAATTTTTTTTTGGAATTTATTCAGGTAAAAGGATAATGTTTACTTAATATCAAATGATCTAATGGGCTTCTGTGAGAAGAAAGTTTGTTTGAAAGGAACTACATTTTTTTGTCGTTCTTTTAGAACAGAAGTCAGTGTACTACTACTACTACTACTAAGGATTTCCACAGTTTTCACTGTCTTCCTTCACTCAACCGTTTTCTCCAATTTTCCCTGTCATTCTACTCTCCATCTCGCAGGGTTCTTTTCTCCATAGCCTCGTCGATTTCGTCTCTGAATGACCTTCGGGGTCTTCCTCTCTTTCTTCTTCCGATCGGGCTCCATTCTGTAATTTTGTTTATCCAGCGTCCTCTGTCCGCTCTTCTGACGTGGCCGTACCAGGATAGTCTCTTCTCCTCTATATAGTCGATTATGTCTGATTGCACTCCCATTCTCCGCTTAATCTCTGCGTTTTCAATTCTGTCTCTTTTTGTAAGTCTACAGCTTCTCCTCAGGAACTCCATTTCTACTGCTCTTATTCTACCTCTATTTCTCTTGTTTATTGTCCAGTTTTCGGACCCATATGTCAGGATACTTCTTGTCAGGGTATTATATATTCTCTTTTTTGTCTTTATCGTAATGTTCTTATCCCACAGCACTGAATTTAGTTGTCTTATACAGCTTCTTGTTTGTCTTAGTCTTTTGTTTATATCTTCTTCTGTTGTTCCCTGGTTCGATATTATGGTTCCTAAATACTTGAATTTATCGGTTCCATTTACTTGTCTTCTGAGCATAAAGCTAAGATCTTCTTCATCTTGTGCGTCAGTCAGTGTAATAACTATAAATATGAGTAATCTAGAAATGATTAGTGACGATGCCCTGTCCATTCCTGCCACTATTTCAGGAAGTGAAGACGAGTCTGAACCTGAAAAACGTTCTGGTTATATTCATCTCACACACGATGCAAAGCAAATCGTGCTTAACGTTTACAACGGTAAGTACTCGTTAAAAATACTCTTTAGTTAACCTTCCTAATACCGGGTGAATTTTAAAACGACCAGTACCAGGTGGGACGACTTCTCGCCCCAGTAGTTTGGTTCACTTTTAAGCGCAAGGATTCTATGTATCTCATTAATCTTACCATTTTTTTAACTCTTTATTGTCTGTATACTTTGTTTAGTACCAATTCAACAAATTAAAAATCAAAGACAGAAGACAGTCACATTCAGAAACTCACCAAATAAACAGGTAATTTTAGCAGTTATCAGATATCAGACGTACTTAGGGCTAATTGCACTTTACAAATTCTTAGAGAGACAATCCCAACTAGAAAGTGATGCTTCGAAGAATCTAGACAAAAATATGCTAATAGGGGAATTATAAAAGTTCCCACTGTGTAATAGCAAGAATGGAATTTCAAAGATAAAGGAAACACATTACAATCAACTGCTAATATGTAAAGAATGCGACTGCACATCATGGCAAGTAATTAGTACAGTCATTAGTAACCATTTTCCAAAACTTTCGTCTAAACTGATAAAATCAGATTTGTAGAACGTGAAAACACTCGATACCACGTTGGGCGAATTTCATACATTCCGCGAAATCCGACGAGAATATTTAAATTTTCTGTTCGCGGTATTTTGGGTTTTACTACTTCTTTGTGCTCTTAATACATCAACTACCAATGTCCTAAACCGTCAAAGCGATTGATTAAACTTAATTACAGATATTAATAAAAACGTTAGACCTAGGGCGAGAATTCGCCCACCGGATATTAGGAAGTTTAATCATATTTACCGATTAATTAATTATAAAAAACACAGAATTCCGAGAAGAATTCCTTAAAACGTAAAATGACATATTTTTCTTAGGTCTTCTTTCGACAATGGTTAAAGAAGAAGCGATCAAGAAGACGGTTTTTT